TATATTATAGCTCTAAAATTCTTTCGTGATAAACGACACTCACGGTAAGAAATATTCGCGAAAAAGTCTTTCGGGACATTTACAATTGATTTGCGTAATAACATTCTTTTTAATAAATATGATATAATAGGGTGTGCCATTAAAGGTTCAAATATATTATATTCTCATAAAACACTAAAATATTAAAACAACTCTTTAATAGTAATTTTATATATTTTTACATATTTTTCAAGAGTTGTTTCAATATTTTAGTGTTTTATCATTTTTTTTTATAAATTATACCAATATCATTATTATCAAAATAAAATTTTTAAATTATATTCTCATTTGATTTGATAACAATGTAATTAAGCATGGGTGACTTCATAAATAATAAGGTTATTGCCACTTTCAGGAGGGGGGGGGGTATATTTTATTTTTTTAAGTTATTTTTTTTAAGATATTTTAAAAAAGTTTTTTCTACTTATTTAAGATATTTTAAAAAAAGTTTTTGCTAAGAAATTTTATTTAAGATATTTTAAAAAAGTTTTTTCTACAAATTTTTATTTAAGATATTTAAAAAAATTTTTTATACAAAATTTGTATTATATTAGTGGTAAAATATAGGAATTCTTAATTCTGTAGCTTTTATATATGGGGGAAGGAGGGTGGGGGGGGGGGGTAGTAGAAAATTGCCTACAAATTAAAATTTTTATTTAGTGGCAATAAATTAAATCTATATATCTAAGATATAATCGGTTAGAACAAACAAATTATTTCCAATATCGGGTCAATCATTCGCAAAATTTTGTTGATCCAAATGACAGATCAATCCATATCTAAAAAGTCGAAAGGCTGTGGCGGGATCTAAAAGCAAACTATAAAAGACATGGGGATAGGGATAATATTCATGAATATCTTCTTGAATATAGATATTTTCGAAAATATCGATTATTAAATCGTTTTGATATTTTTATTCATTTTATTAATGATTGTATAAATTTCAATAATATATTTCAATTTAATGAATAAAATTGCGTCATTTAATACTATATTTCGTGTATAAATTTTAATACTATATTTAATTGAGTCATTTACTATTATATTTCGATTTAACATTTCATTACAAAGGTTAAAAAAATCACTTAAACTTCAAAGGTGCGGTCTATTTTACCCCTAATTCAAAATTTTAGATTATTATTTATTTCCAGAAAAAAAGTTATGCTAATTTTCCTAAACTTGCTTAAATTTTATTTATTATGAGATCTTCCTTTAATTATAGTATTATAATAATAAAAAAATGTAAAGTTTACAAAAATTTACCTTACCCTTATACTTTTTAAAAACTGTGCAGGTATTTAGTAATTTTTTTTATTTTTTTTATTTATGGGATCATCCCCTAATTATAATATTATCACTAAAAAAAATTTAAAATGCAAAATTTCATCTACCAAAAATTTTGTTGAAAAAACTATTTTCATTATCTAATAATTATAATTGGGAAGCATATAAAAAAATGTAGCATGAATCTCTATGAAACTTTTTTTAAAAATCATATTAGACATTATATATAATTTACATTTCAGGTTTTGTTCTCTGGGTTCCGATAAAGGAACAATAATTTTTTAGAGAAATATTTTTTTTTAAAATGGGTTTCCCATTTATTATTTACACAACAATTTAGAAAAATCTTTAATAAATATTAACTCTGAAAATTTAATAATAAAAATTGTGTGAAAATTAAAAATAATCTAAGATTTTTAAAAATAATGTGAGAAAATCAGTAAAAATATAAATCACATATAATAATATATGGGGGGTGGAAGGGGGAAGGGTAGTAAACTAATTGAGGTAAAAACTTAAACCAAAATGCCCCAGCGTACTTACATCTATAAGTGGGAGAGACCAGAAAGAATTTATTTTCTATCACATTAGATATTCCATGCTTACTTAATAGACAATAAGTAACAAAATATGGTTAATATGTTTGGCGTTTATGATTTAAGGAACTTTGGTGGGTAAATTAATATAATATGTTTTTTTTCATTTAAATAAATGAAATGGCAATATATTTACTGCTTCGCGGTAATTTTTTGCAAATACATTAGCGGTAGAAAATTTGCTATAAAGGGTTGCGATAGAAGTTCCGCTAAAATGTAGTCGCTCTAAAGTATTGGCGGGAGCTTGGCGGAAATAAATTTGCGATAATGTGTTTCACGATATTGTCTTCGCTAAAAATGCTTTAAGGAAGAAAATTCGCGGAATTGGTTTAGCGATATTACCTTCGCTATAAAATTAGTTCGCGATATTGTCTTCGCTAAAAATGCTTTGCGGTAAAAAATTCGCAGAATTGGCATAGCGATATTACCTTCGCTATAAAATTAGTTCGCGATAAAAGTTTTGCGAAAAACTGTCTCGCTATAAATATTTTGCTAAATTGTCCTATACGCATTTTCCTTATTCTGAATCTTGGCATCTTGATCCTTTTCATTCTACACCGAATTAATTATATTTACATTTCCTTCCTCATTACATTGTGTGTTAACGCTATTAGATAATTCCGCACATGAATAAATAGTTTTATTAAACCGATAGTGGTTTGTACAAAAGTTATTTCTCTCCCATTGCATTCTTATTTTTAAAAAATGTATTAAAAAATATAAAAAATATTCAAGAACTAAAAAAAGGGGGATTTTTTTTTGGGTGGGGAGGGGGGGGGCGCAGTTTGAAATTGTGGGGAGGGGCTTAGGTCTAGAATCGGCCTGGTAGATTCACTTTGTTTTAATTCATCTAGTAATTTATATAAGTAAATAATAATAAAGTAAGGAAAATTTAAAAAAATATTCATAAGATTGCCTTTAATTTTATTTGATTAGTTCAAATAAATTTGAAAAATCTTGTAATAAAGAAAACAATTTTATTTAAATATTATATAGATTTGGATATAAATCATATATAATAAATGGCATGAAAAAAGGATCAATTGATTACATTCGTTGTAAAGCGGCCTGACATTATGCGACCGCTTCGCTTGCCGAAAGGAATCGAGTCATTATTCCAGAACTTGGTTACGGAGTTGGATATTGTTTCGCCGTAGAAGCAATAATTGCGGCAACGCAAGCCGACTCGATGATATGTGCAAGTGCTGTTCATAAGCAACCTTTCTCCACATAAGTCTTCAAGGTTCCCACTTGAAAATTTGTTACTTTCACCAAGATCTACGCCGAGTCGGCTCCTGATTGGCTTACGTGGAATCCTTCTGTACTCATCCCCGCAATTTTCCTACTAGTTTGAGATTGATTTGAACAAATTGTTCCGAACAGCCGGGTATAGCCTTGATGCAATAGCGCTATACATTTTTAGGGTTAGTTGATTAGACAGGTGAGTTCTTACACACTCCCTAGCGGATTCCGACCTCGATAAAATAATTAATAAATATATTTGATGGAATTCGTCCTGCTGTCTATATCAACCTACAACTTTTGAGGTGTCTAATGAGCGTTATATCGGGCGCCTTTACCCGGCTTTTGGTTCATCCCACATCATCTAATCTGCTTACCAATACTTCACTTTACTGGATAAAACTGTTTTTCGGAAATAACCAGCTCTAGATGATTCGATTTATATCCTAGTTTCACGATCGATTTTCATATCAGAATGGCTTCGAAACTCCACCAGAGTTTCCTCTAGTTTAATCTGCCCAAGCAAAGTTCGTCATCTTTCGGACCCCAAGGCGGCGCTCTTTTTCCACAGCATCGCGATTTCTCCTATTAGGGCAGTACGGAAAGGCTATACACCAAAATCGGTAGCTTTCCTCGGACCTCGTAAAAAGGATCCTTTACTTTTGTTGCACCTCTAGGTTTTCAAAAAATTGGACCCCGAGATTCGCGCACCTGTTAGACTCCTTGGTCCGTGTTTTAGGAATGGTCTGAAAAGTGTCGAACTATAAACATTGCGTACCTTATCATCAGATGAGCGTACCAGGTAACGGCGAGAGCTTGGAAGAATGGTGGTGGAAAACCACTACATCTTTCTCTCTTTGGCCCTGCCTCAGTAACATTAGGTCACACTATGAAAGCAACCAAGGTTTGTAACTGTCGTCGATCGTGAACTGATTATTCCGATAACTCGTGATGTGTGATGATCGAACTCGTCACACGAAACAAAACGCTCGCTATCGGTTGCGGAATCATTAAACGGCCTTTCTCCCCAACGACTATGCGGTTTCACGTTTTGTCTTTAAAGTTCATTTCAACTTTCCCTTACTGTACTTGCTTGCTATAGGTTTCGTGTCGATATTTAGTCTTAGATCGGGTTTACCACCCGTTAGGTTGCAATCCAATGACCCGACTTTACCGAATACTCATCGACCGTCAAAACTGTACACGGCTTCGTAACCTCCATAGGTATGAGCTGCAATCAAATGAACTTGAAAAACGCTTGAACGATAGAATATCGCTTTCCTTCACATTTATTTATCACCACTAGTTACGAATAGGAGATTTAGCGTTAGACTTGTTCCTATTTTATTTACAGTAACTTAGGGAATCCTCGTTAGTTTCTTTTCCACTGCTTATTAATATGATTAAATTCGGCGGGTATTCTCGTTCGATCTGAGGACAATAAAATAATATAGTTATTTCTAGTGTTTAAAAAAAAGTAAAACGATCGAAAATTTTTGGCGTTTAGTTTAGCTTCACGTTGGGAGTCGGTTTGTGATAATGCATTTCATTTTGTGAAAATTGTTCGATTATGAAAACTACGAGAATATCATATGTTTCTTATAAAAATGGCCACTAGTAACTTCAATTTTCGGCATCTCAAATGCATTAATTGGTATTATATAATATTAATGATATTGATCGAAATCGGATAGTGCAATAAAACGGTTTGCTATTTCATAAAGGGAAAAAAATATTCATGAATTTTTTTAAGAATATAGTGTTGTTAGTTTGACAGATATCACACATGACCTATCATGTCAGCCATTTTTATATTATATACAATAGTTATTAAAATATATGGATTACGATACAAAATTCAAAAATTTAGAAAATTTGATAGAGGTATTAAAAGGTACATTTAAGGGTTTATAAATAAAATATAATAATATGACAGAAAAGGATCGTATGATCGATTCTGAAAAAGTTATTTCTCTTGCCAAAGAATGGATTGATAATATTAGCTTGTTATTTAAGATAAATTCATCACCACATATTCAAATCATATCAATTAATAGAGTTTTGATAGAAACGGTAAAATAAATCAATTCATTTTAAATATTTATACATACATATATATTTCTGGAAATTATAATACAATTACCATTAATAATTTTATATAATGTTACTAATTTTTTTATCTAAAGATGTAAAATCTGACTTATAATTTATAAATGAATAATTATCTAGGCAAAAATTTGCTTTTATTTCCCTTAAATGGGTAAAACCCCTTATTTATTTTTCTGATTCTATAAACATCTCAAAAATTTCATTTTTTATTTAAATATGTTAATAAAAAAAATTGATGTGATGAATAAACTATACTATATATATTTCATCAAATTATTTGTTATAATTTGTATAAAAATTAAAATAAGACACTTCCCTTTGTAGCTATTATCTTGGATTTTTTTGTATCTTGTCTTGTCATCTGGGTTTTTGGATTTGTACCATTATAAAGGGCTTTTTTCCCCTATATAGTGATGTGTACCTCTTCATTCCACCACCATAGTCCTTTGTATGATTCCTCCCCTTGCCAAGCCCAGTGTCGATTTGGCAGTGTCTATTAATCTGGATGAAAGGTCTATCCACATTTTTTTGAGGAATCTATTGTTTCAATGTTTGCATTGATTGCAAAGGCATCTGTCATTGTTTTTAATTTACCCCATTTGATGCATTGTTCAAGTTTTATCTTATTTTGAGTGGATTTATTTGAGATATTTAAATCCATGAATAGTAGCTTGTTTTGCATGGGGATATCTTCTACTGGGATGACTTTGCAGTCTATTACATCTTTTAATCGTCTGCAAGAGATTAGCTTGTAATCTATCTGTGTTTTCCTTGTACCACTTTCATATGTTATTAAATGACTGTCTTTTTTCCTATAGTAGGTGTTGGTTAAGGCAAGGTTGAAGGCTTGCACAAATTTCAGTACATGCTCTCCTTCATCTTTTCTTTCTCCATATCCAAAACCACCATGATGCCTTTTGTAGCTATCTCTTGCTTTTCCCACATGCACATTTAAGTCACCACCTATTATGACTAGGTCATCCTTAGGGATTTCCATTACAGCTTCATCAAGGATAGCTCTAAAGTCATCTTTCTCTTCTTCCTTGCAACCCGTTGAGGAGCATATACTGAAAGGATGTGTAGTATTGATTGACTAATGCAAAGTTTTATCTTCATTAGTCTATCAGAAATCCTGTTGACTTCTACTACAGAGGAGGTTAGATCTTGACTGAGGATGATGCTAACACTGTTCCTATTGCTAACAATTCTATTATAGTACAATTTATACCCATCTCCAATATTAAAGTCTTTTGACCTTTCCATTTCGTCTCTTGTATGCACGCTATATCAACTATTCTCTTGTTCAACACTGATGCCAATTCTCTCGTCTTATCAATATTCAAACTTGCTAATCTTGTCTTCTTGCTTTGACCTTTATTTTACTTTTCGCAGGAGAGCCTCACCCTGCACATCGCTTGGAGGGAACACCCTAGCTTTCATATTCATATTTTCATTTTGTTTATTGGACACCTATCCTTAGCACCCGGCTGTCCAGGTCTGTCAGTGACCGGGGTGTCATCTCTAAGCTCCGAAATTCATCTTACCATATATCTTTAAACATCTGTCATCGAAGAAAAACCTGAAAATTTTTATGCTCCTTACCAGAATTGAATCTGCATCCTCTTCATCCTTCTGTTTCCAGACATACATCATAACTTATTAGGCCACCCCGGCGATAGTCCTGCTATATTTATATATGTTAAAATGGCTATAAAATAAAAATCATTAATTAAAATTTTATTTTATAATAAAAATAAATTTTATATGATGAGGAGTTATGGATTGCATTAAGCAAATTATGTATTACTCTTTCATTAAATTATCTCGAATAAATGTTTTGAAAGATCAAATCATTGAAACTCTAAATTATAACTTTATAAAGAATATAAAATCTATAAAATACATAATTTTATTTCAATATCTTTTCTGTAGGGGAGAAAGGGGTAAAACGATAGGCATTTTGCATTTTACCATAAAAATTTTAAACAAACAATAAATTATAGACCAATGTCACAATCTTTCATCTATAAGATATTAAAAAGTGTAGCCCTCTACCAAAATCTAGATACAGATTCTTTATAAAAAAATGAATCTTAGATACAGATACTAGTATCTTTTTCAAAATATCAAAAAGATACATGATAAAAGATATTTGTATCATTTGCTAAATTAGAGTATCTTAAATACAAGATACTTTTAAATTATCATTACCAAATTATGTATCAGCTTTTTTAATTTATTCGTGAAGAACATAACATTCACATTTAATTAAAAAGAATATTTACAATAATCCCTAAATTTATCATTAGTAGAAAGAAAATTAAGCCAAATAAGTGGCGATCATAATGAAGCCTCTATTTCAAACAAGCCATTACGATGGCTATTCATCAAAGTAATTGCTTTGTTATTCATAATTTCACATAACAATACAAATAAGACAATCTTTTTTTTTAAATTTAATTTTTTAATCAGTTTGTTTTTTAAAATATGCGCTATATTTTTATGATAGCTAAGTGTTTTTTATATGACCTTTGTTTTAAATTCGTTTTTTTATAATAAACTCAATGAAAAAAATTCACCTATTTTTATTTGCAATTTTATTTTAAGCTGTCAACACCAGTCATGTATTTAATTATTGAGTATCTCATACAGAAATTTGATTTAATCGATGGCCCACTATACATAAATCCATATAATTTAGCAATCTTAAATTATATGATTGAATTTAGGATTCTTAACGAAAGAAAACAAATTTTATATGCAGGAACTAAATTTGCTAACGGAATTCAACTCAAAAAATATTTATTGCATTCTATACAAAATTTGAAGTATTAGTAGTCAATAGCATTATCATTTATAAATTTACGATTTTTAGGTGGACAGACGACATGATATCATTTTACATTAACTTTTACAAGTATTTGTTATATAATTATTTATTTCTAGTATTTTCATAGGAATTGTGTGTTAACTAATGACGAATTTAAAAAAATTATCATAAAAGTCTCAGTAGTTTCTTTGAGCTCAAAATTTAGAAATTTTGGAAAGATACTGCCCCTCTTGCTAAATTTTGTAGAAGAAAAGGTAAAATCAATCATTTTTAATATTATAAAAAAAATTTATAGAATGAAAATGCAACAATGTTAAGAATCGCAATACATACTTTAATAAAAACCTTCAATCATATTACAGTCCGATGTTATCTAAAGGAAATTAAAATCAAGTTTTTATAATATTTATTAACACCTTTTTTTAATTTTTATGATTAGCCTAGATGAATCTAAAGAATTAGCACATCTGGAAGATTCTATCATGTATATTAATAGGGTGGTAATTCCATTATCCTTAACCATTAACAGTCATCCCGAATATTTCAAGGAATTCCTTAAGTTTATCAAAGTTATTAATGCATTGCTTAAAATTTCTCAGTTTTTACAATTCAGAATTATGTATGTTTTTGAGAAATACATTATAAATTTAAAATATGGAATAGTGATTTTGATCATAGTATAAATATTAAATCGAGACACCTTTTTAAAGAAATATCCAATTTTGCCGATATCAACCAATCCGATTTTTTTTCAATTATTTTATAAATATAATGAAAAAATATCTATAGTGGAATAAGAATTAACAAAAATATATCAATATAATTAATGAGCATATAAAGAAAAACTATTTCAATTAATTAGAAAAACATATTTAAAAAAATCTATGATTCCAAATGCACATTATATCATTAATAGTTTTTTATACGTCACTTAGATATATCAGAGCGGATAGTTAAATTTATCGATATCGACTATATTAACGGCTCTAATGTAGTTAATTGGTTGGTTGTATAGAATCCAGACGCGGAGGTTGGGTCTACAAATCGACTAAACCAGCTCTGAACACGAACCCTGAGCACAGACCCGGGGTTCAGACCCATGGTTTAGACCCGGAGTTCAAATAAACGAAAACTAAGAAAAAATAAATCTCATTTACTAATCTTATATCATATTATACATTCTAATTTTAAATTAAAGCTTTGTTTATTATTTTATTCTACATTATTAATCTCATTTTCTAACCATTTAAATATGTAATTAAATTGGGGTGCTTTTGATTGGAGTCAATTTGACTTAGCCATTTTTTCTCTTCCAGATTATGTTAAATTCACATACAAAATTATTATAGTTTATATATAGCTAACCCTCTTCTAAACTTTTGCAGAGCTAGGATACATACAACTTTACAAAATTTCTTAGTTATATTATCGACAATTATCTCTTGTACACATTATTTTTTAAACTTTGAATAATTATCCTCAACAATCAGCATCTTATTTTTGAAGTTGTTTATTAATTGCTTGTTAATAACCCGTCAAAAATGATAGGGTTGAGGGATAATTAGTTTGTGTATATGGTACTAAATACTTTATTAATATATTAAAATTTAGTAGAAAATGAGGTAAATTTGTGAATCACACCTATAAGATATTCTTTTAAAGTATGATCATCCGTCTATCTTGATGGGCAAAATGAAAAATTTAGGGGAGACTGGGGTTAGTCGAACCAATTTTTACAAAATTGGCTCTAGCTCCTGGTTTTTATAGATATATAAAAAATAATATATGGTTAGATACCTAAAACTATACTCTATAATGGTGCCTTATAAAAAATCTTAAGAATATAATCATTTTATTTAAATTTTATTTTTTTGTAAAAGTGAAAATTTGGTTCAACAAGCCCCAATAGCGGGGTGATGCAAAACACTTCGGGGTTTCCTAAACTAGTGGTTTTTTTAGGCCATAGTAAATAGAAATGCATTTTTATTTATTAATAATGATACGTATAGAATAATTTTATTGTTCAAAATATCATAATACTTATAAATTGAAGCTAATATATAAAAATTGAAACTTAATTTTGGACATAAAAAAATATGAATTTTTAGGAGAGATTAAGATTTCTTAGCATAAATCCTAAATACCAATCATAAATAGCAATGAAATTGTCTTTTCAAGATTTTGAAATTTTTTTCATTATTAACTGCCATAATTGACTTGTATGGTTTAGCAAACCCCGCTAGCTCTAAATTGACAAAGCATGATTGGAATAATATCTAGATATGATAAATACTCATAAAACTTACCCAAATTATAGATGAGTGTTTAAAACTTGGCAATAAAATTTAATTTACATATAAATGATTATATATTTTAATAAAAATTAAAATTTGTCATGTAAAAATCTTTTGAAAATTTCATCAAAATTTACTTAAATAAAATTTTTAATAAATAATTATTTCAAAATATTTTTTGCCTATAGATGTAAACTAATGAAAACTATATAAGGATAAAATTTTAACCTTCTGGTATATTTAATTTTAAAATGAGATTAAGTGGTTTGCCTACCCCCAGGGTTTACTATCTCCAGTTTCCTTTATAACTACTAGTACCAGAGCTCTTGTTAGTCAGCATAGAGTTCGTCAAAAATGACGGGGAATGAGAATTTTCTCCTCACTCTTATGATAGTTGTTACCTGCTATTTGAAAATAATATCCAATTTTTACTCTTTATGACACCCCCCCCCCCTTCAGGCGAGGTCCAATCCATTAAAACTAAATGATAATTCTATGTTTTGACTCAAAAATTTAAATTTTTACTTGATACCCATATCAATATTATTTGTTTAAATATTACCGATCACCTATGCCTAGACATGTGCGCCGACAGCATTTTCCGGCGGCGTTTCTTTTTTTAAAATGATCGCCTGGCGTCGGCGAATCAATTTAGACGCCGCTACAAAAATCGGCGACGGCGTGGCGGCTTCAAACATTTTCTAATTTAAATTTTTTAATTAAAATTATAAATTCATTGGAAACACTTTTAAAATAAAATTGTTTTATTTTGTTTATATAAATTAATGATTTTATTAATTATTTTTTTTTTCTCTTTAGCTTTCACCTTTTCTGGTGGTAAGCTCCTTCAACATCTCTCTCCACTTTATGTTATTAATACAATCTCTTTTATCTAATTTATACTTCTTTATATTGGCTCTAACTTTATGGTCCCATTGAAGTTTTGGCCTTCCTCTTTTACGTTTGCCCATCACTTCCAAACTCTTAACTTTATTTCCTATGTAGTTCTTAGGCCTTCTCATTGTGTGCCCATACCACCTAAGTCTATTTACCATTAACTTAGTCTTAATGGGCACTACCTTTAAACTACTTAGTATTCTTGTACTGCGCACTTTATCCTTTCTTGTTACCCTAGCAATCATCCTCAGCATTCTCATCTCCATGGTTTGTAGACTTCTCTCGTCTGATTTTTTGGTTGGCCATGTTTCCGAACTATATAGAATAGTTGGTTGTATTATGGAACTGTAAATTTTTCCCTTTAATTTGTGTGGGATTCTTTTATCAAATAGCACTCCAGATAAAGATCTCCACTTTAGCCACCCTTGATTAATCTTACTCTTTATCTCTTTTTCTATTGTGCCGTTTGTTTGTATAGTGGAGCCCAAATATTTGCAGCTTTCAATTGCCCATATCTGCCATTCATTTATATCAATACTCTCTGTTTCATCTCCTCCTATCACCATATACTCCGTCTTTTCTCTATTTACTTTTAATCCGTGCGTTTCTAGGATATTTATCCAACTCACTAGTCTTTCTTTCATTTCATCCTTAGATTCGGCAAGTATCACAATATCATCTGCAAATATCATATTCCACGGGACTGTTTGATTTATAGACTGTGCTAATACATCTATTACTGTAATGAAGAGAAGTGGGCTGAGAGCCCACCCTTGATGAACTCCCTCGGCTATCGTGAAGCCTGCTGAAGTACCTGTTATGCTACGGACCATTGTTGTATGGCCCATATACATATCCTGTATTATTCTTATATATTTTTCGGGAACATTTTTGTGGCGTAACGCCCACCAGATAAGTTTTCTTGGGATTCTATCAAAGGCCTTTTCTAGATCGAGAAAGACCATGTTTAGCTTTTTGTTCTTTTCCCTGTATTTTTCACTCATTTGCCTAATTGCGTGGATAGCATCGGTTGTTGATCTTCCAGGCATAAAGCCAAACTGAGTCTCTCCTATTTCGATTATATCTCTTAATCTTTTTTCTATTATTTTTTCATATAGTTTTAGACAGTGTGACATTAGTTTTATGCCACTGTAATTTTGACAATTATGTGGATCCCCTTTATTTTTGAAGATAGGAACTAGATAGCTCTCCCTCCATTTTTGAGGAACCTCTTCATTTCCAAGTATCTTATTGTATAGATTTGTGAGGAGATTTATAAAGGGCTTTTTTCTCTTGTATAGTGGTTTGTACCTCTTCATTCCACCACCATAGTTCTTTATATGATTTGTTGCCTCCTCTTGTCAAGCCTAGTGTCGATTTGGCAGTGTCTATTAATCTGGATGAAAGGTCTGTCCACATTTTTTCACTGACTTGTGAGGAATCTATTGTTTCAATGTTTGCATTGATTGCAAAGGCATCTGTCATTGTTTTTAATTTGCCCCATTTGATGCATGGTTCCAGTTTTATCTTGTTTTGAGTGGATTTATTTGAGATGTGTAAATCCATGACTAGTAGCTTGTGTTGTGCGGCGATATCTTCTCCTGGGATGACTTTGCAGTCTATTACATCTTTTAATATTCTGCGAGAGATTAGTATGTAATCTATCTGTGTTTTCCTTGTACCACTTTCGTATGTTATTAAATGACTATCCTTTTTCCTATAGTAGGTGTTGGTTAAGGCAAGGTCGAAGGCTGGCGCAAATTTCAGTATATGCTCTCCTTCATCATTTCTTTCTCCATATCCAAAACCACCATGATGCCTTTTGTAGCTATCTCTTGCTTTCCCCACATGCGCATTTAAGTCACCACCAATTATGACTAGGTCATCCTTAGGGATTTCCATTACAGCTTCATCGAGGATACTAAAATCATCTTTCTCTTCTTCTTTGCAACCCGTTTGAGGAGCATATAATGAAAGGATGTGTAGTATTGATTGACCAATGCAGAGTTTTATCTTCATTAGTCTATCAGAGATCCTGTTGACTTCTACAACTGAGGAGGTTAGATCTTGACTGAGGATGATGCCCACACCGTTTCTATTGCTAACAAGTCCATTATAGTACAATTTATACCCATTTCCAATCATCAAAGTCTACTGTCCTTTCCATTTCGTCTCTTGTTTGCACGCTATATCAACTTTTCTCTTGTTCAACATTGATGCCAATTCTCTCGTCTTACCTTTAAGCGTCCCAATATTCAAACTTGCTATTCTTGTTTTCTTTGCTTTGACCTTTACTTTACTTTTCACAGGATGGAGGTCTATACCCTGCGCGTCGCATGGAGGGAACGCCCTAGCTTTCATATTCATATTTTCATTTG